TCTCTAAATAGTGTCTATCTAAATAGTGAGAGTAAAGCAAGGTTGGCAGCTCTGCAGGAGAAAAACTTGATGATCTGCTTCCATAAAAGATTACAGTTAAGAAAACTCTATGGGGAAGTTCTGTTATATAGGGTTGCTGTGAGTCAGAATTGACTCAATGGCACCCAACAACAATGAACTTGGCAGCTACAAACTTGGATGTAGAGCAAAGGATGATAATAAGGCAAGCAGATTTGGGTAATAGAGCTTTTTGTTTGGCATTAGAAAGAAAGAATGGAAGGTTTGCTCAAGACATATGTGTTCCTAACTCCAAATTTTGTTTGGCAACATTACTTTTATTTGTTGTTATTTTGCGGTGTCATTGAGTTGATTTTGCCTCATAGCAACCCTATATGGCGATGTAGAACTGCCCCATAGGGTTTACTTGGCTGTAATCATTATGAGAGCAGATCACCAGGTCTTCTGCAGAGCCACTGGGTGGGTTCAAAATTTCAACCTTTCAGTTAGCAGCCAAGAGCTTAACTGTTGCACCACCAGGGCTTCTTTATTTTGATTTAGGACTCACAAATCTTGCTTTCTGAGGAAGGTAGAGAAAAGGATGATCCCTTGTACATTTTGTTCCTAAATATTTTACTGTGTTTTCAGTGAAAGTTTATCCCTTGTGCATGCTTAAAACCCTATTTATCCTTGCAGTTAAACAGATGGACTCTGTACTCCTATTACCTTCCACAGTTTAAGTAAGGATTTTCTTAAAGTCTCCAGATTGGATTGTTAGATATTGATAGGTCCAAGGCCCAAATACCATATTTTGTCAATTCTAAGGTTTAATTTTCCCCACAATTTAATGTTTCTGATATTGGGATGTACCACACAATCAATCTGTACATTTCATGTGGTAGTGTGAATATTTTTTTCTCCCGAGATGTTATTATTAAATAAATGGCACATTTACAACTTGATGGTGTCTTAGATATGGGAAATGTCACATAATAAACAGGAATAATAAGTTTATTGAACAAGAAATACTTAGTGTAGGGTCAACAACCTCTTTAGTCTGTATCTTACCAGTGGGGTTAACAATGGCAGCAGATGTCAACATTAATGTCCTTCAAGATAAAATTCAAGCTACAAATCAGGACTTTTTTTTTTTTGAGAGCCAATTTATTAGCACATCACTGTCCATACTTATTCTTTACTCTTATTATATTCACCCCCTTACTCAATATGCCATGCTATTTCATGCCTCAATACCTTTCCACATGCTCTTACATCTGCTTGGAATGTCCTTCCCTGTTGTTCACTGTAGAAATTCTATCCACCCAAACAGATTTGATCCCTTTCTGAGTTATGTCACCATGTACAGGGTTCTGTGCCTCTAAATACGTGCTTACCATACTGAGCTTCATTGATTTGTTAGGTGTTCATCTTCTTAAATTCTTTGAGGGCAAATAACTGTTTCTTATTTATGTTTGTATCCTTAGTACTTAGGGCAGTGCCTGGTAAGCAGTAGTATTTACCAAGTATTTAACTAGTGAACAAATGAAAAAAAAGGAAAGAAAGGGAAAAAAGAAAAGCATACACATGGTAAAGTGCCATCCCACTGCCACTGAGTCAATTCCAACTCATAGCAACCCTATAGGACAGAGAAGAACTACCCCCATAGAATTTCTAAGGCTGTAAATCTTTATGGAAGCAGACTGCCCCATCTCTCTCCTATGGAACAGCTGGTGGATTCAAACCACCGACCTTTAGGTTAACAGTCAAATGTTTTAATCAGTGAGCTCCCAGAGCTCCCAGCAAACATTTCATTTGATTCAGTGGTGCCTTAATTTGGCACTTATCCAACCCCTCTGAACTCATGGTATATGTAGAACTGTTAACAATAAAATGAATTTATGTTAGTTTTGTCTCTCTAATCAATGATAAATTCATTAGAGGGAGAGATTAACTCTTCTTCTGTATACACTTGTTGAGTTTTAGATAACTTGTACGTTCCTGTTTAGAGGTATGATTTAGCTTCCAAGATTCTTCATTCAGGATACCTTTATTTTTAAAACTAGTAGCCATTTTCAGGAGCGAAATGGAAAGGCTCACAACAGCTTTATTTATTTATGGTCTAGAATTTCTCCAGAGTTTAGAGCAATCTTCAACACTAAATATCAAAAACATAATTTTACAGCAATTTCAGAGATGAATTTTATATTACTGATAAAGCCCTGGGAGCTAATTACTTCAAGATCACTTGAAACCTTAACTCATTAGAGCTAGAAAAATCTCCTGAAGTACTTAAAGTCACTATTCCCATTATGTTACTTGCTTCAATTGAGTAGCTTAGATTTCACTAATAAGAAAAAAGTTCATGCAAAAAAGATTCTATTACTATTTGTTTGAGGAAAATATATTCAGCATATCCTATGAACACCTTGGAGCCCATGGGTGGTGTGAACGGAGGTGCTAACCTAAAGGTCGGCAGTTCTAGTCCACCCAGAGGTGCCTCAGAAGAAAGACCTGGTGATCTACATCTGAAAAACCAGCCATTGAAAACCCAATAGCACACACAAGCCCAATAGCATACTCTAACACACATGGGGTTCACCATGAGTCAGAATTGATGGCAACTGGTGGTTTTATGAACACCATACTACTACTCTATCATGTAGAGTATTGTAAGAGAGGGAGAAAATGGTAAATATATAGTCCCTGATCTAAAAAACCAAACAAAAAAGGAATTTTCAAGAACATAATACTTGTGTATGCTGCCAAAATGAGTTTTATTCCGCTCTTCAGGCTAGGTAGGCCCAGACTTTCCCACAACATCACTATAAAGGTCAAATGGGCAAAAGTAAGGTAGTATAGTTGATACTGTAGGTATCGCTATGAATATTATATAAAAACACTAATTTGGCAAGAATGCAGTCCAACAGGTAAGGGAGACAAGTAACTTTTTAGATGTCTTCTTAGAATTTTAAATGAGAAATTTAGATCCAAAAATTAAAAATATAATCCCTTTTTAAATTCCCCAGTGCAAGTTGAGTCACTGAAATAAATACAGAAATAAGAGAGATGACAGACCCAGAAAGAAAATATTTCATTCTGATTGCCTGTCAACTCATCAGAAGTTAATAACCATGTATGGGACTAAGATGAAAACACATTCAGTCCAAACAAATTGGGCAGTTTTAATAAGACTAGAAATCCTGTATTATGTCATATCATTCTATTGTGTTTTTTTGTAAATTTTACCCACACGTGTAAACTTGATTACATGTCTATAGTGATTTACAAATTTTAAACTGCCTAGCTCATTATTCCCCTGTTGTTGTTGCTGTTATGTGCCATTGAGTCGGACCCGACTCATAGCGACCCCTCCCTGGGTTTCCAAAGCAGTGTCACTACGGAAGTAGATTGCCCCTTCTTCCTTCCGAGGAGTGGCCAGCCTTCTGGTTAGGAGTCAAGTGCCTTAGGCACTATGCTACCAGAGCTCCTATTATTATTCCTCTAGTAGCTGAAATATAGCAATCACTGTTTTAAAGAGTCTACAGCCTTGTTTACAGTACTATATACACAGCATTCACTCAGTTTAGCTATAACAGTCATACAGAAAATGGGGGGCAGGGGAGAAGACAAGCTTACCACAATATCCTCACAACATGCTATAGAAGAGTCCTTTCTGCTCAATCCTAGGAAAATATCTTCAGTTCCCACCTGTTGTTTGAATATAATCTCATACCTGAAAAAAAAACAATGATAATAGAGATTGAAATGAAAGAGCAATTTTCTGTCACAGAGAAGACCTTATGAGGCCATGGTATTACAAAAACCAAAAGGACTACATAGAGTGTTTGCAGTTTTCAGGTACATAGCAAAACATAAAATCTAGAAATTTAGTAAAAAATACCAAGCACTTGAAAAGTAAGGTTTTGTTTATTTCACATATATGTTAATTTTCTAAAACAATGCTTAGTTGTTTTAGAACTATACAAATAAAACAGATTGAGGGAACTTCTAATACTCTAATAAAACTAAAAGTAGCAGAGGATGGTCCTCTCCTGGAAAACAATGGTCCAGAAAAATACTGGGGTCATAATCCAGAGTTTGGTAGATACATAGAAACCCTCCTCTGCTAAACTTGAGCCACAGAGCAGAGTCAGAAAATCGAGTATTAGTAGTGTTTCTGTAACTAACTGTGATCTTGGGCAAATCACAAACTCAGAGGGTTCTCAGCTTCCACATTTACACAATTTATGGGAGAAGGGGCATTTGAATGAAATGAACTCTATGGTCTTTTCCAGCTCTAAAATTCTACAACAGAAAGACTGGTAATGGCAGCCAGCACAGTTACATACAGTATTTAGGATCTAGCCCTACAGAATTCTTAGTTCAATGAAAAAAAATTTCACATATCTTTTCTTCCTGGTATATTTGGGCCCCCAGGGATAGAATAGTTTTTAAAAGCACCCAGCTTCTACATACCCTTATCTCTTCAGATGGAATGAAATAAGCAAAAATTTACTGTTTTTTCCTTTTGATTGTACCCTAAGAAAGAAGTGGTAAATCTCTAGACAGGAAGACTAAAGGACTAGATTGAACTGCTGATCATTAGCAAGTAGGAATGCCCAAGAACAAAAACAAGGGATTTCTCTGAGCTTCAACAGGACTAACAATAAGTAGCTATTTGAAATGGGACATTTTTCTCTTAATAGTCTGTAACATCTAACAAATATTTACAAAGGTGAAGCCACGTTAAAGCAGAACAGAAAAGTATTGATCCAGATGGCTGTGGCTCCCAAATGGATCCTGCTCTTATCCTGAGCTCCAGACTCAATTTTCCAAGTACTTTCTATATTGGTTTGCCTGCATGCCCCAAAGGCATCTCAGATTCTATACATCCAAAATCAAACTCATTTCTTTTCCTTCACTTTTTCCCCATCGAAGTTAATGCTATCAATATTCATCCAATCACCCAAACTGGTAACCATAGCATTATCTTCTATGCTTTCCTTTTATACATGATATCTACTCAAATATCAAATTTTCCTTCAAAAATCTCTTAAATTAAAAAAAAAAAGTTGCTCAAATAAAGACATTCACACTTCCCTCTAAGGCCACTGCCTTAAAGATCCTTATTTTTTTTCATTTGGCCACTTGTGATTGATTTTTCTTTTGTGAACTGCCTGTTCATGTCCTTTACCCATTTTCCTACTAGGCTTTGGGACATTTTGAAATGTATTTGCATGAGGTAGAAAGTGAAGATTTAAAAATTTCATACAGCAGTTTTCTTCATATCTTTACTGGAGTTATTATTCATTTAACATTTTCATGGATGTTCTATCTTTGGAACATCAAACATCAGAATGAAAAGTGAAAATTTACTCAAATTTGGATCTTGTCCCATGTAGATGTTTGACATTCATTAGACAATATGACAAATAAGTGACTTAATTCTTACCTTTCATATGAATGTGTGGGCATAATATAAACATAACCTGTGATTTATTCTCTACATTCTTAGAATGCAAACAGAAAACTTGTTTTAAAAATCTTACTTTTTTAAAATGAGGTTTATGTTTTTTTGACATTGTTTATTTGAAATTTGGATGCCTCCCCCCAGTTAATTATCTGCAATCTCTCCCTGCTTCTATTTCAGAACTGACATAGGAGATAGAAGCATAGGGGTTATCTTAAAGCATTGGGCACGGTTTTGTAGTCAGAATTAGAAAAGTTGTCAGATCGTTTGTCATAGAGATCTTTAAGAATTTATAAGGTACATTGTAATTTAATAAATATTACCTTTTTACAAGTTATTCTAAATATTTGAAGTTATATATATATATATATATATATATATATATATGGGAGCTCTGGTAGCATAGTGGCTAAGACACTTGCCTGCTAACCAGACGGCTGGCGGTTCAAACCCA